ACCTGCCCCCCTCCCTCCCCGGGCTGTTAGTATGCGGGGGCCCCTTGTCCTCCCTCCCCTCAGAAAGTTGGGCTGGTGTAGCGTGTGAACACAGGGGCAGGACTGCACCCCAGGAATTGATTCACACTTTCTGGCTCAGCTTACTCATGCCATGGCCCTGAGAAGATGAGCTACTGTGGCCGTCCCTCTGTGACGTTCAAGTGCATTACACATCATCTGCTCCTGAACCTGGCAGACACTGGCGCACACATGCCTTCAGAGGACACTGATAAAGAAAGCAGTCTTTCTCTGGCCTGTACGAAATTTAAATATAAAGCTGAGCTAGAACAGAGGCTGCGATGCCGTCCCACCCCTGCAGCCACATCCTTCCCTGTCAGGTGCCTAAGGACAACTGGTTCAGCCCTTGCCTTCTCCGCTAGGCATCCCCTCCTGACACCCCTGGGCTCTTGTGCTCTTGGACTGCAGATGCCCACTGCCTACTACGCTCCCTCTCACGTCTGCCTTCTCTAAGGGCCCAGGAAACCATGGCCGGTTCCTCTTTAATAGCACGTAGCCCAGGGCCTGAGAAAGTTGTGATCGCTCTTGCCCTCTTCAAGACTCAGGTAGTTTACACGTAAAATCTGCCTACCTCACAGGTAAGCTGACTGAATCAGGTGAGGTCTAATGAGTGGGGGGCTTTCTACATGTTAGCCCCTCTGATCAGGATGCACTATGCCAGAGTCCCTGGGATTGACCCCACGATGGGTTAGAATAAAGCTGCTCTCCTGTCCAAAGTTATTGATTATGAGGCAGAAAATGCAATTAACCTTGAATAAGTTTAGGTCACTCACCCACACCTGCTTACTGCTTGCTGCCTCAGTCTCTTCCTTGAAGAATAGAGAACCAGAGCCTGGAGCTCCAGGGGAGGAGCAAGAGTATGAATTCTCTCAACCTCAGAGTTGCAGAATGATTCTAAGGAGTTCATCCATCATTCTGCACACCATACAGAGAGAGTAAATGGGTTGCCTGTATATGCACTATTATTTTCAAATACTACTAGGTACTATTTTCAAATAGGTACTATTGTGGTTCACAAAATATAAATTGATTTTTTAAACGGATGCTTAGTAAGTTATTTTGACCCAGTAATACCTTTGGCAAGAGAATAACCTCAGAGGCTTAGCTGGATTTGGGTGCTCTGCCACAGCTCACTTGTCCTGAAGATAAACATCCTCAGGCTTGGAGCCCTGACTTTGTGATAAACATTAATCACCTGTCAATGCAAGTGCTTGTTTCCCCAATGTAATCAATGGCACAACATTCAGCACACAACACACGGTTCAGCTTGTGGTGTCAGAGCAACTGTATGCAAAGGGAATAGAAGACAATACTCACTGGATTTTGCCATCCCACCAAAAGAGAAGACTTGGCTACCACAGAATATTCCAGAAAGCCCCAGATGTAGTACAAGGAGACCACAGAAAGAGGATCCTAGGACACAGCTGGCTGGCATCTGAAAGTACAAGGCCAGGAAGTTTAAAATTCCTATACTTACCCCTGCCAATGGCTTCTCGTAGGGAGGCCACCATGGCGGTTCAGCTGACTGTGACTCCCTGCCCCAAGGCTGCCTGAGGCCACTTCGCCAGCTCCTGGCGTGAGTGCTCCAAGAGAGGGGCGGTTGCAACCCTCTGTGAAAGGTGCCCCGGCAGTGCTCTGAGGTGATGCTGCCTTGTGTTTCTGCCAGGAATTTAAACTTGATGGAGGGGCTCCTGGGTGGCTCAGATGGTTAAGCATCTGCCTTTGGTTCAGGTCATGATCCTGGGGTCCTGGGATCGAGTCCCGCATCGGGCTCCCTGCTCAGTGGGGAGCCTGCTTCTCCCTCTCCCTCTGCCTCTCCCCCTGCTCATGCTCTCTCTCTCTCTCTCTCTGTCAAATGAATAAAGTAAAAAAAAATCTTTAAAAAAAAAATAAACTTGATGGACTTCTGCCATAAGGAGGGACTCTGTTCCTGCCTCTCTCCCCATTCCCCTCACCTCCCACCCTCCAGCCTCAGAGAAACAGTAAAGGAAGATGCTTCTCTTCATTAGTCTTCATAAGAGCCTTATAGCTCAAAACCATGCATCTACCATCGGTAAATGGAATCTGAGGGAGCTATGACTTCGTGGGGGGAGCAGGAGTTTCACCAGATGCTAAAAAGTCGCAAGAAAAAAGATCCTGTTCTATTGATGTAAGGGGAGTATAATGGGATTTTTTTTTTTTTTTTTTTGTAACTATCTGATGAGAAAAGCCATGTTTGCTTTTTCTTCCTGTGAAATGGGAGAACTCTGAGTTTGGATCTACTGAATATAAAGTTCTCACCAACTAAGGTCCCTACGAGTGTATCTGAGTTGCCCGCTCCTGCAAATGAGTTATTTTTATGGCAGACATGATTCTCATTAAAAGTTCTTGTGATTTCTATCACAAGGCACATTTTCCCCATGGCTACCCCAGGCTCCTGCTAATATAGTTGTTGTAGGGACGGAAGTGAACTACATCAGCCATTAAAACGCACCCTAACTGATCACCATGAAGTAGCCACCTCAATGCAAAGTAAAATTTTTAGAGAAAAATATTCACAATATGCAACTGCTTCTTAATATTCCATTCCAGTTGCTCTGGGAGAGATAATAGTACAGCACATACTGCTTGGGATAGAGTTAAACATTTCCTCTGCTCCCAGAAGAACCTTAAAAAGAGTTTAAGCTCTTCACACACTCTGGGGTATCAGTGAGGAAATAGTTGGCAGTCCCTGCTCAAAAAGACAGTTGTTCATAGAGTCTTTTGCAAAACCTGGTTTGTAACCCACTGCCCAGAAGTCCCAGTGTGATTCATAACAAGAGTAGCTCTTTCTGGTGGGAAATCAAAGGGTGTAAGAATTGGGGCAGCTGCTTGGGATTGTGTTAAGAGGGAGTGTGGGGCCAGCAGAAGAGGAAGGGAGGTGCCCAATGGCACTGCCTTCCTTACTTGAGCTGTCTACTCACTCATCCTTCCAATCCTGCAAGGATAAGCTTCTTAAGATATTTGCTGAGAGATTGGATATCCTGCCCTAGTTCTCCTTGGAAAGTACAGGGTGAGCTGGCAGAAGGGAAGAGGTGAGGTGTAAACCTTTCATGGAGGTCTGAAAGACCTGCCCATTCTTGGAGCAGTACCAGGCCCTTGGGCCTTCACACAGGTGAGATACTTCGGATTTTATAAGTCAGCCTTGATTTTGGATGCAAAATGAGACACAGTCCCCCCAGAGATGATCATCTCCGCTGAGCTGCAGGGACCAATGGGGACAGGACTCAAGATTGCTGTCTTGTGGAGCTCCAGATATTTTGACACTTTCCTGCAAGTCATTCTCCTCCCAGCGCATCCCGGATACCGACACAGGTCCCAGAAGGAGAAGTTAAAGGTTTAGAAATGGCCTAATTTCCTAATTTATGAAAACTTTTAGCCAACCCTCTACCTTCTGTTCATTCAGTTGTTCACTTATTCAGTGAATAATTGTTGAGGACCTAGCTGCCATCTGCCAGGCCCCATGCTAAGTTCTGGGGGAGGGCTCCTGCCTTCATGAAAATTACAGCCTAGCAAGGGAGCAGACAGTAAATAAACAAGTAAACAAATCAACAGGATAATTACAGATTGTTGTAAGTCCCATGAAGGGAACACACACGATAAATGAGATCATAATTGGGAGGGGCCCCTCTGCAGAGGGGACATTTGAGCTGAGACCTCTAGAGAAGGAGTGGCCATGGGAAGAGCTGGAGGAAGGGCAGTCCAGGCAGAGGGCACACAGGGACCCAGGGGTGGAAGGCCTTGGAGCATCAGGGAGAGAAGACGTGGCGAGAGAGCAGCAACGAGAATGATGCAGGAGGAGTTCACAGGAGGCACAAGCTAGGGTGTTAGCACCTTGGAGGCCATGGTCAGAGTTTAGGTTTCATTCTGAGAGCAACGGGGAGCCACTGACAGTGTTAAGCAAGAGTGGTAACCTAATTAAAGACCACCGTATGCTCACTGCCACACTGTCCGTAATAGCAGATAAGAAACAAATTCCATGAATATGGAGCCAGGTACGTACATGTGGGTTCATCCCAGTGGTCTGCAGCAGTTCAAAACCGTGAGGCATGTCTATATGTACTGCCAGAGAAGGATTCACAAGATACCCTCGGTAGGAGAAAAAAAAAAACAAGAAATAGAATACAGCATAAAATATGCTGCTACTGTATTTTAAAAAGTGATATATATGTATATAGGCTTGCCCGTGTATAAAATCCCACATTAAGAACACACAAGGAGCTGGTCATGGGTTGCTTCTGGGGAGGGGAACTGAGGCACAGGGTGACCAGGATGGAAGGGAGACCTACTCTTCATAGTGTATCCTTTTGTACATTCAAATATATTAGTATGCCTGTGTTACATATTCAGCAAAAAAAGCTCCCGTGTCTAAATTGTGGTCACCATGTTTGCTGTGTGGAGAGAGGGTGTTGAGAGATGGTGGTGGCTTGACCATGGGTAATGGGGATGGAGACAAGTGGGTGGATTGAGGATCTATGTTAGAGGCAGGACCAGCTGGACTCAGTGTATCCCACAATGACTGTCCCGCTCCCGTGAGTTCAGGAAAGCTTCGTGCATTTGAGATTGCAACTGGGCTTATCCGACTCTCCTCTGACTTCTGTGACATCTTTGTGGACTGAAGGGTTCTTGGGCTCCTTCCAGGTGCAAAAAGCCTTGGAACTTGAGAGACTGTCTAATGCATCACAATATGGAGGACACGGTTACAGATACGTGCCCTTTTCATATCCTCATCCAACTTCTAGACAATTTTTTTAAGTAACCTCTAGGCCCAATGTGGGGCTTGAACTCATGACCCTGAGGTCAAGAGTCTCATGCTGTACCGACTGAGCCAGCCAGGCGCCCCTGAATGGTTTTTAATGACAATCAAAATGAAGTTACACTGAAGAAGCCCTATCGTTTCTCCATGGAGCTTGCTTTCTTTGCAGAGAGATGCCAAGGGCCAGTACCTGTTTGACCTTCTTTGCCACCACCTGAACCTTCTTGAGAAAGACTACTTTGGGATCCGCTTTGTGGACCCAGACAAGCAGCGGGTAAGTCAATATTTGAAGCGCAAATATTCACTGACCTACTGAGGGTTGGTCAGTGGCCTGAGTCCTTGGACTGCCACTCATACTCTTGAGTTTAGCCTCAGGGATGAGTGGCCCCCCGGGCCCTGCATTTTGGTGTCACCTCTTCAGATCACGTAGCCACCTTGGCAGAGCTCAGCGAGTGTGGCCCACCGTTCACAGATGCTGAGATTGGCAGCCTAGAGGGCTGACATGATCTGCCCAAAGCTGCCCGGTTGGCGGCGGAGCAGCGGGGCTGGTGTTACTGTCTCCGAGCACAGGTCACAGGCTGAGCCTCTCCCGCCCGCTCTCTAGTGACTGAGCCGAGCCACACAGTTCCGGCTCGGAAGGGCCCCACCTTCCACCAGTTTGGGCAGGACAGAGATAGAGCCGAACTGACATGGGCCCCTGAGCACCTTGCAAATGCTTCCGTTCTCATTCTGCTCCACAGACACGGGGCTTATTCCAGACGGAGATGAGAACAGGTCCATCACCCCCAGGCCCCAGCCTGCCCTGACCGGTCTCCTCCCTACTTGGCTCTCCAGATGCCATCCTTCGCTCTTCCCACAGCCTCCGGCTGTACAGTCCCCCCGCCCAGAACATCTCTTCTCCCTTTCCTCACCTCTCCACACTCCACGCTTCGCTTCTGGCTGACTCCTTCTCACATGTAATGTCTCAGCTTGGACTTGCACTTCTTCCGGGGATTCTTCCCCCACCCCCACTGTGAATGAGGGGTCCCTCCTGTGTGCCCCACAGGCCCTGTGCTACCCCTCTTGTAGCACTTTCTACGCCATGCTGTAGTTGCCTGTTGGATTACCTGTGTTCCAGGCAAAAATGGAAGTTCTATGAGTGCATGCACTTTCTCTCATTCAGCACTACATCCCATAGAACGAGCACAGGGCCTAGAATGTAGTGGACGTTCAGTAAATATTTGCTGAAGGAGTGATGAGTGGGTGAGTTCATGGTGTATATGCCAAAAAATTTCCCCCTCCACTTGCCCAGCTGCTCCGCTAGCAGACATCTGCACTTCCTAGAACTTCTTTTCATCAGCCCTTTCCTTTTTGTGGGGATGTATTGTCTGGTACCCCCACTGAAGTGGGAAAGTATGCAGAAGCATTTGGGCCTGTGTCTCCCTTCCCTATACCCCTGCCCGCCCCCCACTCTTGGTCTACCATCCTCCAAAGACATTATCAGCACAAATGCCAGAGGGTCCCCCTTCCGTGGGTCCACTGATTTTCCTCACAGCTCCAAACATGGGTTCCATCTCTGTTGTCACTGGGGGCCTCAGAGCCCCAGAAGGCACAGTCCCCTAGCAATGCCCAGGACCACAGGTAATGAATGAATGGATACACCCCTCAGCATGCCAGAGTCAAGTGCTGTTTTGTTCTTTGATGCTCTGAGCCACTGTGTCTCCAGGTCACATTTAGAGTTTTCTGTTGAACACTTTAGCTTAAAGAAAGAATCCATAGGACTGTGTCCCTTTCTTTTGAAAAGCCCTGCCCCCTTCACTGATGTATTCTGGTCCTCTTGGCTCAGCAGAATTTTGAGCATCACCACTGTTTAGGAAGTAAGGTCAGCCCCTTGCCCTATGAAGGCTCCACGGTCTTGACATAAATACTGTCCTTAGCTCTAGAACCTCGAAAGGGCCATGATACCAGGAAGCTACATGTCCTCACATGCTGTAGGTATCCATTCACTATAAAATGATGGACTGTTTTTACAAGGGGGTTTCTTATTGTTTATTTTTTTGGTCTGAGCTGTTTTCTTCTTAAGAGGGAAGGCCAGTTACCCCAAGTTCTCTTCATCTCCTGAACAGAGTGGCTTATGAAGAAAAAGAAACAAAACATATCCTCATTATTTTCTAGTTAGGTCAAAATGTGCTTAAGAAGAATAGGAGAGTACATGGAAGGGATAAAGATCAAAAGCAGGAGGAGACAGAGAAATATAAAGAAATGGAGAAACGGGGAAATAAACCTCTATGGAGTGGCTACTGTGTGCTGGGCTCTGCACTGAGCATAAACCCAGGCCTTTCAGCCGATGTATGTTGAGCCCTGAGTTCTATCAGGCACGAAGCTAAGAGCTTCCCACATGTTCTTTAATCCTTATACAAATGAGCAGAGTATCCACAAGTCAAATAGCCATTCTCTGGCTGAGGAAATAAAATGTCAGGTTAAGTAGTAACTTGCCCAAGGCATATGGCACTGCCAGTCTCCTGCTCAGAGCTGTCTGATGCCAGGCTCTGTGTGGGTTCTAAGGTTCCAGCTGAATTCATACCAGACAGTTTCTTGAAGTTGTGTGACTGTGCTGAGGGGTAAGGAGAGCAGAGAGGCTTGGAAAGGTGCTTGAGAGTTGTGGGGAAATTGTCACCCTAGATCGGTTGAATCGTGGTAGAGAATGGAGGGAGTTAGTTCCCCGCTCCCTTAGGTTGTGAGGTCTTAAAATAAACCTCCTCCCCTGGGGCACCAGAACCCAAGCTCACATCCACCCCCTCACTGCCTGCTCTGCACAGGTGCCCATGGGGTCTGGGAACGCTCCTAGTCCCTCCTGGGGCACCAACGGGGGGAGCCTGTTGCTGGCTCAGGTCCAGGACCTCAGCCTGCTCTCAGACTCTCCTTTCAAACTGGAGGCACCCTTTCCAGCCACCAGAGCCTCCAGATCATGCCACATTGGCCCAATGACCCAAATACAGGTGGAAACTGCCCTCTCTGAACCTTCTTTTCTCTCCTCCTGACCCTTCCTCCCCAGTCTCCTGTTACCAATTTGCTAGTGATTGTGGGACCCAGATTTAGCCAAAGTTACCGCTGCAAGGTTACCCTTTACTCTGTTACTGGTACAAAGTTACCAGTTACTCTGGCCATCACTCTCTTTTTGGGATCCTGATTTCTCTTGATTTCTCTACCAGACCCTTAAAATCTCCTGGACAAGCTGTGACAGCTTTCGCCTCTCCCCCCACTTCCCCCATCTCCACCAGCCTTTCACTGCAGTGCAGACTGAAGTCCTCTTCAGCCCTGGCCAAGGGCAATAGGCTTTTTGTCATTCAGCTCCACCTGCTTTCTGCTGAGAACGCATCTCGCGGTCTTTCCTTGTAGTGTCCATCTTCCATTGTTTATTTATTTTAATCTATCCGTCAGATGCCTGGGGGCATTCTGAGCCCCAGACACTCACTGTGTTCTCCTAGCTGGACACAATTCCGATGTGCTCCGATCAGACGGGCCTCCTCCGCCTTCACAGGCTCAGCCTCGAACCCCACTTGTTTCCGTGCAATTTCATCTCTTGCCTTTGCTTCCCCGTGAAGCCAAGCCGCGGTGGGCCGTGTAATGTGAGAAGGACCTCTTAACCACATTGAGTGGCTATAATGAGTTGCCAGCCTCATGGGAACTCAGATCAGAGGAAGCAAGAGAGCAGAATGTCAGCCCAGATTATCCATGTGGAGCTGACGGAGGAACTGGCTCTTAGTGGGTCCATTAACTTCGTGACCCACAGCCCAGCCCAGAAGGTGAGAGCTGGGAACCGCAGGAGGCCAGGATGCTGTCTGCATGGCCCTGGCTGCTTTCCTGCCAGAGGGAAGGTTCTGCCAAGATGTTGCTCTAAATGGAAGTAGCCAGAAAAGAGGGAGATGTGGACCCAGCATGGACCCGCTTCCTTCGTCCGTTTGGTAGCTGCATCTTGAACACTCTTCAGGGCACCGGCGGCTGACAGTTTTCTGCCTTCACAGAGCTTATGGCTCATGTCTACTTCCAGATAATCAAATCCCAAGTAACAGCCATTGTAGCTTTCTGCAAACTGTCAAATTTACTGATTAGCATAAAAGCAACAAACATCAATAATGCATTTTATAAAGCATTCATGTAGAACTGGGAAACAGTTATAGAATGATCTCATTGCTTCCTTCCCGCAAACATAAGTACCATGGGAAAAAAAAATGTATTGCTACTGTATCCTGCCTCTACGAAAATCCAAGGGAAAAACGATACGATCCTACACATTAGTTGTGGTTAGTTATCTTATGAGACTGAGACTTTAAACATCCCTGGATGCCAAGGAATCTGAGTATGTATGCCCTAACACAAGGGTTGGCAATATGCTACTCAAACAAAGATGGAGGATGCACCAGCCATCCCTGCCTTCTCACCATTGATGAAGTTCCACCTGTTAATACTTTCTAGAGCCACGACCAATAGCCTCTGTCCCCACTGCCCACCCCTGCCAAAAAAAAAAAAATAGCTGGCACATAACACAAACACACACAACCCACTAATGTCAGCGTCTCCCTGCTCAAGACAGGTGGGGCTTTGTCGCCATTACACATACGTGCATTCGCTTGTGCCTACTGGTACGCCAGAAATACGGCTCAGAACCCTGGCACCCTACTTTGGAAGGCAGCATTGCCAGGGAAGCCCAGAAATGGCATCTGAAGCTGGAACTCTTCCCCCTTCACAGCTGGTTCCATGGGGAGCTTACTTCCAAAACTCCTATCACTCTCTGCTCTCCAAGCCTACATATCACAAACTTTGGGGCTGCTCTCACCCTGGGCTACAATCTGTCCAGTTATTTAAATTGGGTAAAACAAGTTAGAGTTGACACTGCTTCTCATTCGGGTTTTCTTGTTCTGTGTTTTCTGTTTCAGCATTGGTTGGAGTTTACAAAGTCTGTGGTGAAGCAATTGAGATGTAAGTATTCTTCATGAAAATGTGGGGAGCCTCACCCCTGGGGAGGGTGGGATGAAACCTCCCGTGTTTAGTACATCTTGGTCATTGTCCACCGTTCCTGTATAAGTTGGCCCTATACCTGTGAGGACTTTCTTATGATGCATCCCAGTGGGGAGGGAAGCCCGGTCATCCTCTGGGAAGGGTCTTTCCTGAGACAGGCACATCTCTGTCTCTGCAGCCCAGCCTCCATTCACCATGTGTTTCCGCGTGAAGTTTTACCCCGCAGATCCTGCTGCCCTGAAAGAAGAGATAACCAGGTAAGGCTGAACTTCCCTCAGCCACTGAGACCTGTTGGAGAGGAAAGAGGGACTGGAGCCTCTCAGATCCTCTATTTTGGAAGCTTCTCACTCTTATAAGGAAGGAAATCTTCCTAAATATAACCTTACTTCTTCTGTATTTCATTTCCACATGCTTTCTTTGCTCACCCCCTCAATGGAACTGGAACAGAGTGAGCTGCTTTCCTTCGAGGAGTGTGAATACTTCACATAAACTAGCCATCTATAAGGAGACCTGGAGTCATTACTTAATCAAAAGCATTTTTTTCTTTTACCAAGGCTGTGGCCACCATGGATGTTTTTGGAGAGGGTGGGTTGCTTTTGTTGGGGGAGGAGGATGTTGCTTGAAATAGACTCCAGTGGCCTAACGTCCTTGGGAAATGCCAAAGCAGGACACTGCAAAATAAGCCGGGAAACACTGAAGATTTTAAATCCAAGTGGATAAACTCCAGTGTGCTGACGGATCCGCCCGTGATAAACGCTTCCTTGTGGGGGTCATGTTCTGTGGCGGGCACACAGCTGCACGGAATGAATCCTATCTCATCCAGCACCACATGAGGATGAGAAGGAACTTCTGTGCCCACGTCATCCTACAAGAGGGTCAAAGAATAGGCGCTTCAAAGCTTCACCAGAGTTTTGTATATGTGAGCCAAATTCACTCTGAAAGTCTTGCCTCAGAGATTCAGCAATGCTCTGTACCAGGGATCCTTAATTCTTATATTAGAAATATCTAATTTGGACTTGAGCAGAATGGTGGTGTTACCTCAGAGAGGGCGGGGCCCTAGAGCAAGAGATGATGCCAGGGAACCCTAGAGCTGAGGAAGAGACGGCTCTGCTGCTCTCCGCTTCCCCCCAAAACCCTGGAGACCGCAGAGACCGGGATGAGGCCGTGGCCAGTTATAGAGACTCTGTCCTGTAAGCCTTTGCCATCTACTTCTAGATCCTGAACTGCTTGGGAGAATTCCAAAGAAAAGAAAGAAGAGGGAAGAAGGGAGGAAGAAGGAATATGGACTTACATTCACTTCCTGTTCCAAAGAGCGTGCCACTAGCTTTATGTCAGATAAAAGGAGCTGAAGTTTTTCTGAGGAGGAAAACGAGGAAATGGGGAGAGTAAGAGGGCAAGAAACAGGGCTACGTAGTGCAAAGGAAGCAAAGTGGGACAGAGAGGAAAAGTGGCTTCTCACGTGGGTCCCAGTGGAGGCTGGGGGGGATCTTGCAGTGCAGTCGGGAGGATGAGGAAGGTTGTTTCTTTGGGATGCTCAGGGCAGTCTACACGCACCAGCTTTGAAGCACTGAGGCCAGTGAGGGCATTCATGCTCCTTACTGGGCATGGAAACGGCAGGTTCTGTTCATCCACACGGAAGTGGATGTGGCTCCCACTTTGCTCATCCAAGTACAGGAGCAATCCTGTAGTTTTAGGAGCATGAACCTGCCCTGCTCAGGACCTTCAGAGTATTTGCCTCACTCTGAACCTGTCCCTCTCCCCGCCACCTGCTTCCCTGCCAAAAGAGGTGATGATACCAAGGCAGACCCAGAAGACCACACTCCTGTCCACGTGTCTGGGCAAACTTAACACCTCTTTCTTGAGAACCTGGCACCTTGCCTCCTAACACCACACCTCAGGATCTCCTGGTCTCCACCTCACACAACCAACAGTGAGGATGACTGGGATGATTCTAACAACTCAGTGAGCGGCCAGTGAGAGCACGGCAGACACATGGCTTTCTGATTTGATTAAAGGGCAAAAATATATGGTTATCTTGGCCCTTACGAGCTCTTAACAATACAATTTTCTAAATCAAATGTTCCTCCATAATACTAATGGACAGACTCTCCTACTCAAACAGCAGCATAGACCTGGAAGCTCAGATCCTATTTCTGTCACTTCTCAGCTCTGTGGCCTTGGACCCAAGATATTTAACCTGTCTGACCTTCAGATCCCTTATTTATAAAATGAGGAAGAGTAACAGCTCCCGCGTGGAATTGTTGGGAGAACTGACCCCTACACTAGGATCTTGTACTTTGTGATAACCGCGCCCCCCCCGCCGGCACCCCGGCAAGCCTTTCGCTGAGCAGAGGCCGCCAGGTGGATTACATGGTCCATGGACCCCCGAGGGCTCCACACGCGGCACAGGTACAGTTAGCTCTGGCTTCTCTCCTTTGCTGAGGTTAAAAGGCACTTCTTTTCTGAGATTCCCCACTCCTCCTCTGTCCTTTTCCCCGACCAGCTAGAGTCCTACCACTCAAGCAGCTAATTTTTGAGGACTCAGAGAAAAAGCCATCCCAGGTAGCCAGTCATCCAAGCCCTGGTGGCACAGCATGAGAGCCATGGCCAGGCCTCTCTCCAGGTCAGCAGGCTTCAAAGGCACTGACAAGGGAGTGAGCTCCTCCCCCTTCCACACACATCCTGTGCTGAGCATCCTCGACTGTTCTCCCCTTGCTCTCCACCTCACCAGCCTGCCTTCCCTAGAATGCATTTTCCAGGCATTGTTGGGAGTGTGAAGCACAGGGTGCCTGGGCCTGATATGGAGTCTTCATGCCTCCCCCTCTGAGGCATTCTGTGAAGGCCTTGGAATTAGCCAAGTCTTTCTCCTCGTTCACGTCCCTACTGATCTTGAGAGAGTGGGTAGCTGCCCCAGCCTCACTCAATACCTGTAATTCATTCCTGGCTTAGAGCCCTCCATGCCACCTTCCTGCCAAACTAATTTAGCTGTCAGTGTGTTTTTTCCTAGCAATATTGGTCCTAAATTTCAATGCCATCCCAGCTATTCCCATAAAGCCAGACTGAGAGGAGGGGATGAAATAGGGAGTAAAGAACTGTGCTTCAATTTCTCTCTTGGACTCTTCCCAGATGATAAATTTAGTTGCCAAATCCTGATTAATCTCTTTTGTCATTTTTTAAAGTAATAAATAGATTTTCTTGTCTGAGCTAGAGACAAGGCAGAGAAAATGGGGATTAGGCACCAGATTTAGCGTTTAACAGGGACCGCAGGTGTATGAACTCTCTGGAAAGGTCAAATAGTAGAAGGAAACAGTGCAAATGGCGCCTCCTTCTAAGGAAACAAACTGCCTGACACGTTTGAGTGGGGGTGCTCACAAAAAGTATTAATCAAATGACAGGATATATTCGAGAATGAATGGAGTTTATAGGTCATAAATTCCTTTGATGAACACCACTTGAGCCTACCTTAGGCTAAGATGGCCTGGGAAGCATTTTCTATAAAAGGCCAGAGAGTAAGTATTTTAGACTTTGTGCACCATATGGTCTCTGTCACAACTACTCAGTTCTGCCTTTGCAGTGCGAACATAGCCAGAGACGATACCTAAATGAATGAGTATGGCTGCATTCCAATAAAATGTTGTATTTCACTGGAAACTTTGGTGGCAGGCCATAGTTTGCCGACCCCAGACTAACGCATCAAAGAGAACTGGGTTCAAATTCCAGGTTGTCCTTTAACTAGCTGTGAGACAAGGCAAGCAAACTTTCTCCAATCAGTCATGTCCTCATCCATGAAGCAGGAAGAAAAAACAGTAGCCACCTCCCAGAGTCGTCGTGAGGACTGCATGCAAGGGTACGCATTAAACTGTACAGTGTGGGGGCACCTGGCTGGCTCAGTCAGTGTGGCATGTGAATCTTGATCTCAGGGTCATGAGTCTGAACCCCACATTGGGCGTGGAGCCTAGTTAAAACCAACCAACCAACAAACAACAGTACAGTGGGTGGCTCACAACATGCATTCAGTAAATCATTAATATTTTGTTTTGTTACTGTTTTGTCGGCTGTCTCTCCCCACTGGAATGTAAGCTCCATAAGAGTGGGGATTCTGTTTTGTTCCCTTCTGTATTCCCAGCACCCGTGGTAGTGCTTGGCACATGTAAGTGCTCAGAACTGGATGGATGGATGGATGGATGGATGAATGGATGGATGGATGATAGGTGGGAGGAAGGGTGAATAAGTGAGCTAGGCACAAGATGTACAGGCTCCCTAGAATATTAAAAGTAAATTTAAAAAAAAGCATCTCTGACTGCAGGGAGATGATTATAGGATTATAGAGGAAGCCAGGGACAAAGAATCTGATGAAGGAAAGTCAGGGCCAAAGTGAGAACTCTTTGGAGAAGCTCTTCAGGAGATGCTAGTTCTCTCCAGAGGTCAGAACCTTTAATTCTGGAGCCATCTGTAGATTCATCTCCACCCTCTGATATCAGAAAACACAGTGCCACAGCCAATACCTTGGAGAGATGTACATGTCACAGAAAGACAGGTTTTCCTTGGCTGTCTTTTTAGGTTTTCACTTACTCTGCCTTTGGATAGTCCCAATTTGCACCTCCATTAATTTAGGACAACATTGGCATTAAAGCAAAAATGGAGATGAGGCCAGGAAGAGATTGGCAAAGTCTACTCAAGAAGTGTCCTAAGGAATAAGCTTGTTGTCTTAATTCTGATCTGATCTGTTTGGTTCTAATGAGAATTTCTCTCTGATGACAGAGTTCTCTTGACTTCATTTAGGACCCCTCTCTAATAACTAACTGAATTACCAGGGAGGTAGAAAAAGCATCAGGCCCTGAGTCAGGAGGCTTTCCTTGATTCTGATCACTGTATCACCTCAGACAAGTCGCTCTACATGTTTGGGCTTCTGTTTCCTCACATATGAGAGAATTGGGCTCTTTAACTCCTGTTCTGAGGTTCTGAGATGGGGTAACCCAACTAGCCTGCTCATCAGGAGTTGGCTGGGCTGGGTGGCCCCAGCAGGCTGATCTCTTCCCTGGTAACAAAGTGGCCCTAGTAGCAGTGTCTCAGGCAACAAGATAGTCTTCCTTAGGCCCATGTGTGGCAGGGGAGAATATGCCATGTTCTCTTGAGAATAGGTCTAGGGATGCTATGAGTCATGTGGGGCGTATTCTCATGTCCGACAACAGCGACTCATTAGTTACCACCTTCAATGAACAAAATATGAAGTTTGATGAAAGGTACCATGGCAGAAAAGGGAGGGGGACCCCAGTACAGCTCTGTCCCCTGAAGCTAATGGCTGATTCTTTCATGAGCTCACTTCTTGTCTTTGAAAGCTGTGCTTTGTTTTTATGATATTGACTTGCCCCCCCTTTCCCTACTCCCTTCAATTGCTGTTCCGTTGCCTGACAACGTTCCTGTGGTCTTACCCTTGAGCCCCTGTACTGTCTTACCTCCAGAAGTCTAAAGAAACCCCACTCAGCAGTGGAAAGCCTGTACCTTTCTAGCTCACTGGAGGCACCCACCATGCACCCATCAATAAAGATGCCTCATGGGGCTCCTGGGTGGCTCATTCGGTTAAATGTCTGCCTTCAGCTCGGGTCATGATCCCAGGGTTCTGGGATCGAGCCCCGCGTCAGGCTCCCTGCTCAGTGAGGGGAGCCTGCTTCTCCCTCTCCCTCTACCTGCCGCTCTCCCTGCTTGTGCTCTCTCTGTCAAATAAATAAAATCTTAAAAAAATAAATAAAGATGCCTCATAAAGACAATGGTTCTCAGGGTCAGGAGGAGCACGTCCCCCCCCCCCCCCCCGGGTGGGAAGGGAGCAAATCAGAAGCTCCAGCAAGGCTCTTTCAAACCCAAGAGACACACACAGATTCTAATGTGCTCCCCCCAGGGCATGTTCTCACTGCCACATTGAGAATCACTGCCCAGAGCCTAGCTGTCCCTTTCAAATATCTCCTTTAGTCAGGTATGTGCTGTCCCTGAATTGTGGACACAGATAGAGAGGTACAGAAGGAGTGATATACGAACTCAAGCTCAGGGAATGATCAGTGAGTAAAGGACAAAAGGTTTGCTTCCACATCCTGCCAAAGCCTGTGGAAGGCGGGAGCTGGAGCAGTGAGAGGCAAAGAAGCACTCTCCCCCTCCCTCCTCTTCCAGGCTTTGCCTCCCTCCCTCCTTCCCACTCTCCCATACCGAGGTGTGGCATTTTACTGTGGGAAGCAGAGTGAAGACGAGTAGATCTGGTAGATCCATCTTAATTATTCACTCTACATGTCTTTTTCTTTTCGTTTTTCATGGCAAACACTGGGGCAGAGTGGGGTAGCTGATGGTGGTTGGGGGTGAGGAGCAGAGTTCTTACCAACTTCCAGACTATAGACTCACCTTCCCTTGGTGTGGAGACAGCAATCCATCCTGCTGTGGTTAGATGGATACTTTCAGATATTCTTAGGACAGTGCTTCTCAAACTTTATATATAAGTCACCTGGGGATATTGTTAAAACAATTCAGTAGGTCTAGGATGGGCCTAATATTCTCCATTTCCAACAAGCTTCCAAATGATGCTGACCCCCCTGATTTGTGGGCCACACTTTGCGTATCAGGGCCTTAGGAGAGTTTTAATTGCTCCTGCATTTGTTTGTTAATTCCTTGAATCAGTAAGCCCACGCTCTCAGAGTCACCTGCTGGTACCCCTCCCCACCCCAGAAGTTACACCGTCAATGGTCCTCTTTCTTTTGGGCATTTTCACGGGATCAAATGGGCATAGAATCCTCTGTATTATTCTTCAGCCTGAAAACAGCAGTAGTGGAAACCTCTAGTTGTCCAGGGAGGGCCCAACTTGTTTTTGGTTCAGCCTGATGGAGTTTAGGGGAATTTTATATTTCCATTACTCCCGTAGAGGTTCTATAGTTATCTATGGCTAACAGCGTGCCACAAAACTTGGCTTAAAATGATAAGCATTTATTATCTCTCCATTTCTTTGGGTCAGGAGTTCAGGAGTGGCTTAGCTGGGTGGCCCTGGCGCAGGGTCTCTCATGGGCTTGCAGTCCTCTGAAGGTCTGACTGGAGGATTCACTTCTTTATGACCTAGTCTCAGATGTTAGACAGTGTCGCTTCTGCTTTATTCTGTTAGAAGCAAGTCACTAAGTCCAAACCACACCCAAAGGGAGAGAATTAAGCTCTACTTCTGGAAATGAGGAGTATCAAAGACTCTGTGGGCATATTTCTAAATAACCGTAGATGCCCCATGACGAGGCAGCACTGTGGTAGGTGACACACATCAGGGTTTGATACCCTTGGCTTTTGCTCTTCTCAGGGCACCTGTAAAGTTTTGACATCAGAGACCTACTCCTTGTAAAGACATTTCAAAATAGAGCCAACAATTCCATTCCACTGTGACAGGGTCCACCCAACTCCTTGTGAAACCTCGAAGCGGTTATAATGCAAGGAGGGCCATATAACATGGTGACCAAGAGCCAACCAGTCCTGAACTCACATCCTGGCTCTGCCACTTCCCAGTTGTGTACCCTTGAGAAAATCACTTAAGCCTCAGTGCCCTTATCTTAAAAGGGGGCAATAAGACAACACTGTATGTTAATTATACTAGAATTAAATTTTAAAAAGGGGGGGATGATAGTACCTATTTCAAAGTATTAGGTGAGAATTAGATGAGATAGTGCATGTAAAGTGCATAAGACCTGGACTGGCAGATAGTAAGTACTCACTACATAGCAGCTACTGTTAGCTGTTATTCTTGCTGTCCTGCTTCCATCTGAGGTGAGAGCTTTCTCTGTTTGAAGAAACACCAGCCACAAGTTGCTGTGCTTCCTTCACTGGCGCCCCTTCTTATAGCTTATTCAAATCCTGAGAGGTCCAGCTGAGCTCTGCCAATAATCAAAGTCTGTTCCACACACGGGCAGGTTGTCTTGTGAGCCGAGGAAGAACTTGGCCTTGGGCTGGTTCCCTCACCCACCGTTCCGCTTCTTAGGAAGAAACATCGGCCAGAATCCACGGCAGAGAAAGGCCCAGTTGGCCCCTCTCTGCTGACACAGGTTTCTTTCTCAGCACCAAATGGGCCAGGGCTGGCTCCTTCCAAAAGCCAGCACTGGAGTGGGGCACAGTGCTTTTGCCAGGAAGCACCAATTCTTTTTTGAGCTACTGAAGGAAATTGACAGGTTGTTTTGAACTGACCCAAATCAGTTTGGGGCAAAGTACTTGTAAGTCTTCAGGAAAATGGAAAATCCGTTTGTTCTGTGGTACATTTTAAGTTTGTTTTAATGTAGTAAAAAAGTGCCCTGACAAGAATTTTGATAGGCTTATATCCCATCCTTATGTCTTTAAAGCCATCAGAGAAATCCTTTCTAGTTCCTGCCTCTGTTTTCTCTCCAGGTACTTAGTCTTCCTACAGATCAAAAGGGATCTCTACCATGGCCGCCTCCTCTGTAAAACATCAGATGCTGCCTTGTTAGCAGCTTACATCCTTCAAGGTAATGATTTTTGACAAGATGAATTTGCTTTTCATGCTAAGTACTGATTATATTATTTCAGTTACCACAGATGACTACTTCTTGGGTTTAAACAGTATCTGACTTGAAGCAGAGTCTGAATGAGAGGGCTTTGCCTAGACTCCCTAGGTCCAGAAAGCTCCAACCACTCAACCCTACACTGTGCCTAAGGTCTTTCTGCCAGTGCCTTCAGATCATTGTGACTCTCTCTGGGGTTTCCTCTACCCTTGGCTGATAGAGTTACTGAGACTCTGGAGAGTTATCTGAATCAATTTTTTCCTAGCCTTTCATGCAAATCTCAAAGGTGTGAAGTATCTTGGAATTCTGGTGTCCCTTTCAGAGATCTTTCCATTCAGAGTGGTCAGAGTTGGAATGTTTACAAGAAACAGACACATTTCCTAGCATCCATCCTAATAAGGCAGGGTTGACTCTGTATCCAGCTGATGCCGACTGGCTTTTTTTTTTTTTTTTTTTTGCAAAACAGCAGGAAAGGTATGCACTCTTCATGTATGTGATGCCTTCTCCTTCCATCAAGTGCAGGGGCTCCTAAGGGCCACTTCCAAGACTTCTCTTAGTCCTTAGGCCTGAAACTGTCACCAGATTGTTCAAGACCACAGCACTAAAATCACAGTTTCCATCAAAGAAACTGAACTCTTAATTGGAAATCTGTGAACTCCAGGAAGCTACTCTGTGAAGAGAATCTGAAAAATGCTTGCCAATAAGAAACTACAGTTCTTCTGCTAAGAGAAATATCATAGCTGCAGTAAGAATGTAAAAGTCCACACATTGCAACTTTGACTTCTGAGACTCCTGTTTTTAAAAAGCAAGTCTAGAAGGTGCCTGCCAACTCTAAGGTACCCAAAGAGGCCCTCTTCAATTTTAAAGGAGAACTTGGTCCTAAGTGAGATTTTAATCTCCAGTCTTTCCATCAGATTTACCCTGACAACCATATTGAATTTTTTTTTCTTTTGAAGAAATAATTGATGTCCAATACTGATGTTTTCCACTTGGAGCTTCCTAAATAAAATCATAATAAATGACTTCATGGCTCAAGGTCACTCTGGACTATAGACCTGGGAAAGCTTTTAGTCTCTTGCTGAACGATAGATGTTCCCAAGTAATCTGGAAGACACAATGCGTAGATTTGCGCACAAGTACAATATTCAGCTGTGAGGAAGGCACATTTTCCTCTTAATATTTACTCCTCCCTCAAGATTTCTCCCGGGCCCTGGTTGTGGCTCTCACTAAGGAAGGAGAAAAGACAACCCCAAAGCAACTGACACTTTTTAACATACTTCCTCCTCACATATACATGATGTTCCCTGTGCAGCACATCCTGTGTGGAGGGCTGGGGTCTGACTTGCTTTGCGGAGCGCACACTCCGCAGAGCACGCTCTCCGCAGAGTGCACTGATCAGAGATCCCAGCAGCTTTAGGGATGGCCTTTTGCTCTCTAAATGGGTGGAGGAGAGCCCCGTCCTGTGCAGAAAACTAAGAAATCAGCCTTAGGACCTAGTGCTCCTGAACTCACTGGCCAGTTTTAACCAGTCTTCCCACTCTCCAAGAGGGGCCTGACACCTGGCCAGCCCTCAGTGAGTATTTACTCAAATTACATTCACTTGATTTGATTTGATTTTGACTGAGAGTTCAGTTCTGAGTTTGGGTCATGGCTCCTTCATCAGTGTGGCCCTGCTAAAATCCTGATCTGGTTCAGGCCCAAGAGACTCTATCTTCCTGATCAAGCTGTTTCCTGTGCTGCCACAAAAAGCATTGATCCCAGTCCCTTTTCTCAAGACTCACTGGATAAAGACCGTGACACAGCCCTCTGCTCTTTTATTGGGTATTTACTTGTGGTGACCACAGAACACAGGCTTGGCTCTAGTGTCTCTGCTTAGGCTTGATACCAACCCAGAGTGCACACCTGGGAAAACAAAGGTAGGCATGCTTCTGAGGGGCATGCCCTCTGCCTGACCCACAGCCATGCTCAAGATCCATTGTTCTTTACAAATTTGGTGTGTGCTTTGGCTTTTGCTCTGTGTGTTAATTTCTTGTTGCTTTACCAGTGATGATTTACCTGTCTCCACAACTGTTTTACTCTGCTTTCCTTTTGTAAGCGGAAATTGGGGATTATGACCCAGGGAAACACCCTGAAGGCTACAGCTCCAAGTTCCAGTTTTTCCCAAAACATTCAGAGAAGCTGGAAAGGAAAATTGCTGAGATTCACAAGACAGAACTCAGGTACGTGACACTCATTCGGGCTCGGGACACTCTGCCCCCCAAAGCCTGAACACACAAGTCCTGCGCTGCATCCTCTGCTCCCTCAGACCCAGTCCTCCTAACTCTAAGATGTGCCATTTTCAGTATTCCACTGACAGCACAACCCCAAGCCCTGTAGTGTAGGCTGAGGCTTGAGGGCAACAGGGTCATTATAGTGTGAGGAAAACAGAGAGGGATGGCCTCTGAAAGGTATCTGCTTCACTAAGATAAATGGAGAGAGCGGGAAGCATGGACTAGGGAAAAGGAAAGCATAAAAGGAACAACAGAAGAGAAAATAGATGAGAGGAGGCATGTGAAAAATGGGCAAGCCCCTACCTTCAGTCTGTGGCAGTGTGACAGGTGGCTCTGGGTCAGTGGATGGGACTGCACAGGGCTGGCCTGGTTCATAAATGCGGGGGATGCCCTGAGAGCATGTGGTTCGGGGGCTATGTCTCCAGCACTGCCTCATTCAACCCACAGCCCTACACAGAGGGAAGGAGGGGAGAAGCAGCTGGAAGCAGGAAGCTTGTCTTCCTCAGATTATCTTAGTTTGCCCAGAATATGCCAAATTCCATAAAATAGCATTAATGTATCCTTTCACCATATATATAGGGTTTTCTACAAAGGTTGATTAAAACAACAACAATGACAATAGAGCCTGGGTGGCTCAGTCGGTTAAGTGTTCCACTCTTGATTTCAGCTCAGGTCAGGATCTCAGAGTCACGAGATCAAGCCCCGTGTTGGGCTCCACCCTCAGCGGGGAGTCTGCTTCTCTCCCCCTCTCCTTCTGCCCCTCCCCCTCACAAGGCTCTCTCTCTAAAATAAATAAAATCCTTAAAAATATATATATATATATTTTTTTTTTTAAGGATTTTATTTATTTGACACAGAGAGAGAGCACAAGCAGGGGGAATGACAGGCAGAGGGAGAGGGAGAAGCAGGCTTCCTGCAGAGCAGGAGAAGCTCAATGTGGGGTTCAATCCCAGGACCCCAGGATCATGACCCGAGCCAAAGGCAGTCACCCAGTCAACTGAGCCACCCAGGCGCACTAAAATTTTTTTTAAAAAGCAGTAGTGTGTATGCACTCTACTTTGTGTGGCATGCTGGAGTACAAATACCCCAAACTGATAAACTATGGAGAAAAAGGCTATATACAATGCAGTACTGTAAAATAAAACATGTCATCATATTAGTATGTTACAATTTTTTAAAATCTTTTTAGATGTTTGCTTAAACTACCTTCCTGGGACAGGATAATGCCTAAGGGGTGGGGGGGGATATTTCTAATGTTGATATTAAGCTTCAACTTAATATTGCACTGGCTCCCACCCTCCCAGGGGAATGGAGACACCTACCAGAGGTGGAATCCTAGCTGCTCCCCATCCCTCTCCCCGTGCTGGTGTGGCCTTTCTTGAGCAGGCCAGCTCCTCCCATCACTGTTAGGGAAATAGCGGCCCCTTGTGGTAAAGGTCAGAATAAACGTGGACCTTTGAGAGGGTTCAGCGTTCGTTCAAAGCAGAGGGTTTTTTACATGTCAGAGCAGTGGGGACAGCCGTCCAGAAACCTAGTAGGAGACAGGGCTTCCCCCAGGAAATGATGCCCACTTTGAGGGCCCTGGAGGCTTGGGCCAACTCCTGGAACGAATAGAGCCCACAAGACCCTCCAGCTTCCAGACAGGGAGTGAGGAAGGTCCCTCCAAGGGGCAGTGGTGCTCAGCTGCCTCTGGTGCCCAGCCTTTTTTGCCTGCCCCACAGACATTTCCCAAACACCTTCTCCGCACCTCAGGCGTGCTGGTGGCTGTAGAAATCTGCAGTCAACATAATGCCTGCTTGCACAGGTTGGCCTTATCTTCATTATGTAAAAATGTGTCTGTTTCCTCCCTCGGCTCTAACGTGAGTTCCTGGAGGGCCCAGACTGTGCACTTTATCTCTTGGTAGATTTTACAGCAAGCAGCATGGAGGCTGGCACAGAATGTGCTGATTGATGTCCCTCCCGAAGGACACTAGGGGGAATCTGGCCTGCTCCTCCCTGCTCTGCCTCCTCTTCCTGCGCCCATATTGCTTGAGACAAATAATGAACGAACTTAGAAATCGGCAACTTTCAGTCCTGCCCACCAGCCGTCAGAGTTGCTGTTGACTTGACACACTGCCCACCCCTCCTCGAAAGTGAAACCAACTCAGCATCTGTAGGAGTGTGTCTGCTTCACCAGGGCTCTGGACCCTGAGGGCGCCTGAGGTGACACTGTCACTGGTTCTGTGTGGAGCTCAGGAAAGCACCTGCGCACAGGCAGCTGCAGAAGGAATGACGCTAAAGGCCCCTTCCTCAGGCTTGGCACTAGGGCTGCTTTCTTCCTTTTCCTGCTTGTTTCCTTTTCATAGTCATCACCCTGTGGACAAACAGAGCTATTGTGGAGACTGGGGAGCTCAGCACTGTCTCCTGCTGTCTCTTCACCCTCCATTCCCATGTTCCCGTTGGGTAAAGGAAACGTGTTGGCAGCACCAGCAAGATATATAGGCCCCTTCTTTGTATTTCAGTCTAGATCAGACAAGAAACCCATGGCCTGCAGCCAGCGTACAAGTGTGTTTTGTTTGCCTGCCTAGTATTTGAAATTGTGAAATACCGCATAAAAAGCGTATCTCTGACTTCCCTTTTAAAAGCAGTGCTTTTAACATCTAGCTGTGTTGGGCCTTGCATTCCCACCTGACTACAGTCTTGGAGCTGCTGCCCTCATTCGGTGAGGTAGCACTCCCCAGTTTGGCACGGCCCCCACCACTCCCTCCTGTTTACACTCAGGCCATATCATTCGTTATGTAGTCGGCCTCAGTCTGAAGACATCTGAGTTTTTGACCCTATAAAGGATCTCTGAAAGTTGGTCCTGAACAGGGCAGGGAGCACACTCTATGGAAAAACCAGAGTGTAAGACTTACCCTGAACACTTTTAAATATATATATAATTTTTTTTTTTTAGAGAAAAAGAGAAAGCATGAGTGAGTGGGGGGAGGGGCAGAGGGCAAGAATCTTTCAAGCAGACTCCCCGCTGAGCACGGAGCCCGACTCGGTGCTTGATCTCACAAGATCATGACCTGAGCTGAAATCAAGAGTCAGACACTTAACTGACTGAGCCACCCCCTGAAAGCTGCTTAATGGAGAGTTTACCTCAGGGGAGTCTGTGAAAACAGGAAACCCTGAAATCATCTCATTTTCTTTATTCCAGTGGTCAAACACCAGCAACATCAGAGCTGAACTTTTTAAGAAAAGCACAGACGTTGGAGACATATGGAGTGGACCCTCACCCGTGTAAGGTAAGACCCCCATGGTCGGAGGCTGCACTGACCTTGCCTCCTCCAGAGGCCAACAGGCAGGGAAGGAGCACATGCCTGCGCCAGCCACCCTCAGTATCTGGCTGACTGGCTCTTTCAGCGACAGAGGCCAGCAAAAGTGTCACTCCTTTTGAAAACTCCTCTGGCTTCCACGCTGCATAATTTTGTGGTGCCACATCAACCTCAGAGGGTCCGAGGCGAAGTCAATCTAAATAACAGATCCAAAGCTGGGGCCCCACTTTGGCAGCAGTGGGTAATTTCGTGGAAACGAAGAGAGAAGTGTGGAAGTCCCCCCACGGGGAATGATCAGAGGCCGCTCAGCGGACTGCCCGCCCTTCCCTGACCTGTACTCTAGTTTCTTTCCAAGAGCGGGGTTTATTGCCCGCAGCAGCGTAAGTCACTGCACGTACCTGCAGTGGAGTCGCATTTAATTCCGTTATGCGCCTGGGAGGGGAGACAGGAAGCAGCCAGGAAGGCTCTGCCCAGGGCAAACCTCTGTAATTGCTCACATGTGTCTGGCATTTTGGAGAAGAGCCCAAGCAGCCACAGTCACTATGCAGAGCAGTGGGGGGACATAGCTTCTTTCCCGCTCTGTGGCTGTGTCCCTCCACTTCATCTCCCCATCTCGGTTGCTTTGACACTCCTGGTCTCTGCCTCAGTTTCCCCAGCTTTTGCCTCTCTTTCCACCACTGGAAACCAGTACCACCAGTAAAGCTGATTCTCAAACTAATATGAGGGAGCCATTATCCTATGGGAACAAGAGGACACTGCCCTTTTTCTTCCTAATGAGGGGACACCATAAGTTTCCAACAAAAATGAAAAGAACAGAATAGAGGGGCACCGAGGTGGCACAGTCAGTTAAATGACCAACTCTTGATTGAGGCTCAGGTCATGATCTCAGGGTCACAGGATTAAGCCCCGTGTCAGGCTCCACGCTCAGCAAGGAGTGTTGAGATTCTCTCCCTCTCCTTCTGCCCCCCTCCTCAAATAAATAAATAAATCTTAAAAAAGGGGGAAAAAAAAAAAAACCAGAGAGAAAGCAAGGAACCCAGTAATGTAGGTGCAGAGTTGCATTTCCCTTGGCCTCTGGGTGAGATGATGGTGATTTGTTCTTGCATAGGATTTGATGCTGAAACTTCCAATATTAACTTTGAGAACATTCTGGCACTCAGAAACCCTGGTCACCTTTCCCACTCCACACAGTTCCCTATCCACCAGTACAACCCACTGCCAGATAACCCTTGTGTTCTTGGGGGCCAGCACTGTCAGAAAACACATCCATGCCTGTTAGTACAAAAAAAAAAATGTATGGTTATTTACAAATGAATTCGCGAATGCCCTTGTATGAACGGATACAGATACATCCACGAATTGCTCAGATACTATCCGCAGGGAGACTGCATAGGACTGAAGAGAGCTTCGGAGTCAGCTGGCCTTGGCTGCAGCTCTGATCTCTGGCTTCCTGAGGCCTTCGTAGGCTTCTCTGAGTCTTGCTTTCTGCATCTGTGTGAAAGTACACAGAAAGTACTCAGTGACTGTGCTCCACGAACTGCTGAGTCACTTCAGGACCTTAAAACACATAGCTGCCTAGAGATAGCAATCTTCACCATAAGGTGCCAGGTCATCTCCAAGCCAGCTGGTAGACAGTGAACCTGAGCACAACTTAATGGAAGTGGGTGAGGGTTCTCTACTGTTGCCTATGTGCGTCTGGAAGCTATAGTGGCAGCCAGCCTGGTGTCCAGCCCACGTCCGCATGTACCCTAGGGCTGTGAGGCTCCTGGCTCAGACCCACCTTTGATGAGTTTGTCCATTATCAGACAGAGGCTGAAGAAGCTGCAGGAAGGAACCCCTATTAATACCAGGCACTGTGTGAGGCCCAATCCCTCATCGTTTTTTTTTTTTTAAGATTTTATTTATTTATTTAATTGACAGAGAGAGAGAGAGACAGTGTGAGAGGGAACACAAGCAGGGTGAGTGGGAGAGGGAGAAGCAGGCTTCTGGCCGAGCAGGGAGCTCGATGTGGGGCTCGATCCCAGAAACCTGGGATCATGACCTGAGCTGAAGGCAGTCGCTTAACCAACTGAGCCACCCAGGCGCCCCATCATTTCATCCCCACAGCATCAATTCCTTGAAGGAAGGAGGGAAGACACATTTGTGGCATGCCTTCCATGCAAGCCCACTGGAATCCTTTTGCATTATTTTTTCATTTAATCTTCATGCCAGCCCTAGGAGGTGGATTTTACTCTTCCTGTTTTATAGGTGAGAAGATGAAAGCTCTGGGAGGCCACAGCTTACTCCCTGAGTAGGAGACCAAGAATTTGAACTCAAGTCACTTCCCATTGTTAGGTATCTATAAGGAACAGAAGCTTACTCCCTGAGTAGGAGACCAAGAATTTGAACTCAAGTCACTTCCCATTGTTAGGTATCTGTAAGGAACAGAAGCCCCCAGGAGACTCCATCTAGGGAGAAGGTGGGAGCGGTCATCTTACTGGGCTTCCAGTCCCTTGTTCCCAGACTCTGTACTTCCTGCTCCCCCAGAGTCAGGGCCCTGCTGCAGACCCCACACATGGCCCCTCAGCTCATCTCATTGGGTTCCAGATCATAGTTTCCTTAGCCCTCCTGAGCAAGAACAGTTCAGGAGCCTTTACTCTTGTCATTAAGTAGGGTTACTTTGGTGATATGCTACCAAGCACTCGCCTTAATGTTGCTACAAGGAGAGCTGAAATAAGCTGGAGCACTCGGTGTAATAAATACCAATGATTTCTGTTAACAGAGAGGCAATTACTGGGCCCAGGGAATCTGGGGCACGCAGCCCTAGGGAGGACAGAAGAAGAGGAATCGTTTTGATAATTAAATGAGAGCAGAACAACACTTCAGCTGGGCTCTATTCTCCTGGACTGATTAAGAAGCTGTTCTTCTTATCCACACTGATGGTTTCTCTCTGCCCAGAGCGTCCTTGTCTGGCCCTGGGATGAGGAAGAGGAGATCCTACCAACTCTGGGTGGGACAGCCAAAGGGCTCCAGCAGCTGGCTGGCTTACAATAATACCCAGGCTCTGAACTTGCACAAGCTATCCTGAGCTCTCTGCATCGCCCCTCAGCCCCCATCTTCTGACGGGAGCCCCTAGCAGGAGGAGAATGAAGCAAACCACTGGCAGCCCAGTGTTGCATCTATCCCCAACTCTGACACCTCTCCAACCTCAGGAGCTACCATCTTATTCCTTCCAGGGGACCCTGGGACTGGTTGTTTGCCCTGGATCTCCTGTAGGCCCACGGTGGCTTCTTGCCCTGTTGAGGTTTATGGAGTGGTCAGACCCATCACAGATACCCATCCTGTACCCAGCCTTATGATGAGTCATAAAGGTGCCATTTATTGACAGCCTGCACCTACCCGGCACTCATATATACTATCTCGTTTAATCTTTACAACAACACTGCCAAGAAGATGTTCTTGTCCTCATTTTGAGATAAGAACACTGAGCCTGGGGCGCCTGGGTGGCTCAGTTGGTTAAGCAACTGCCTTCGGCTCAGGTCATGATCCTGGAGTCCCGAGATCGCGTCCCGCATCGGGCTCCCTGCTCAGCAGGGAGTCTGCTTCTCCCTCTGACCCTCTTCCCTCTCATGCTCTCTATCTCTCATTCTCTCTCTCTCA